AAAAGATTTCATATTTTCCAATACATTTGAAGTAACCTTTTCATTATATACTCTTTTTATTATTCAAGCTAAGGTCTAAGTATTGAAAGCAAACATTATTAGAAACAAAGTAATTGAATTTATGCCGTATTCCTAAATAAATCTACAACCACAGATATTCGTAAATAAACAAACAACCTTATATTCATCAATACACAGTAACAATATTAAAGCGCGCATAGCATCGCCCAGCGACATTTGTACTTAGTCGCGCGATCGATTTCAGTTTCAAAAAAAAAGAATTTTTATTTTGTTCTACTTGAACTGGATTTATTAGCTGTGTCAGTTCTATACAAAGTACATGTGTCTGTCATTTGGGACGAGTCAGAATTCAGAATTATATATATATATATATATATATATATATATATATATATATATATATATATATATATATATATATATATATATATATATATATATATATATATAAAGTCTAATTCATATGCCAGATTTCAAAGGAATAAATCACTCAAATGGTTTTGGAGTTTTGTGAGAGAACTGAAAACGTAGATGATAAATTAGTGGATGGACATAGGACAATATTAACAAATAACGATGATTTGTGAACAGTAAGATTGCAAATTTATTCCACTTGACTATATTGTGCACCGGGTTTCATAATGATATCTATGATGGTTTTGGTAGTGCGAATAACGCATTGAGGGATGAACAAAAGGATTAAAATGATACTGAGGAATTCTTAACAGCATGAAGTATCAGTTATTGGTACATAATTATACAGACATATCTTTAATAGTTTTGGAGCTTTACCGTAGAAACAAGTGTGGAGAATGGGGAAAGAACAAAAACATTCAAAATATTTAAACTGAAGGATTGTGAATAGCATAATGTGCATCTGCATCACTAGTCAAATATATGTATATAACAAAATCATAAACGTATCTTGTATCATCTTGTTGTGCATCTGAAACGTGCCATAAATGAAATAGAAATTGATGAAAACATACAAAATGTATGCTTTTGTGCATATTCGAAAGCACGTCTATGCCAATAATCTTTTTATCAGTCTATATAACTCATATAATGATCTTCACTAGCCAAGGCTCTAATATGACAGTCTATCTACACCTTAGTGGATCCATCATATATTTCAGTGCTTTGGGTCTGTGAATTTCTTTGGATGTGGTGGCCACCAAATCCAATCAAAATCGGGTTGTTCAAATTTGAACACTCTTCCTACATAATTGAGACTATGGGAGAAAAGAACTGGAATGGACTAATAAATAAGCAATTTTCTATTGCCAGTATGTGTTTGTACAAATATATCCTTTCCCTCACATACACCAGTAATGGCTTCCCTCTGGTACATAGACTTTCTATGTAAATTTACAAAGTATCCTTCTGAAGTCAACTGATTCCATTTTTTGGCCGTTGGACAATGCACCACAGTTATTCACTGTTTGTTAGTTGGTATTACATATTTACGAAGGCAGTTTGTGAAATCCATTAGATGCTTCTAGTACAAAACGCAGTAAAATATATGATTGCTCTGCCATGGTGTGGATAGGTTAACATATCTGAACCTTGACTAGAGAAAATGTATTCTAGTATGTCTATAAATTTATGTAGAGATACTTTGATGGTTTCAGTGTTTTGCCCAAGATACATTGTGTGGATAATTGAGGAATATGAAAATAATAATCCAAAAACAGTTTTAAAAAGCAAATAAAATTTAAAGTATTGCAAGTTTTGAAATGTGGGTATCAACAAACACATCTGCAACAGATAAGTCTACTAAGTTTTAGAAACGTATCCCTGATGGTTTTCAAGTCAGAAAGAAAAGTGAGATAGCGGAACTGACTGACAACTGCTTGGAACCCATGATTCTGTCTCTCACCAATTTTGTTGAGTGCGGAGTATTAAATGTTGATAGCAAATTTTAAAATAATTCCTGATAGGAGGTAAGTGTTTGAAGTATATTATATTCATACAACACAACTGCATGTATTCTTTTTTATTTTACTGTCAAGCCTTACTATAATTTCCTCCCATGTATGTCAGAAGGATTTAATTCTAAAATCAATCGAAATATATTATCCTGTAAGTCAATTATCACAGCCAGATTCCCAGATATGTATAATCCAATTAAGAGAAATTTCTGAAGTTGTATGTAAAAACCCAGGCACTGCATAAATATCTCTCCATGACATTGCATGAAAATTTTCAAACCACTTGCAAAGATGTAGACACCACCAATTATATCACATGGCTTCGAGTCTGTTACAGTGTAAGACAAAAAAATAAATACGTGTTTCTTATTGTACCAGTTTTAAAATAGAGATAGGCAGGTATTTTACTTACATTATAAATATATAATAATAATTAGAAAATATAATGTACTAAGAACTTAAAATACTGGGCAAAACTGGCTCAGTTAGATGCACAAATCAATTTCAGGACTTTTTATTTAAAATATTTACGTTGAAGGGAAACATTTCAACGGCCAGTAATAGTGCGTTAGGCCAACCAGAGGCAAAATTTTGGGGAGGGAGGAGGGCTACAAGAACATGCTCGACATAACAGTTATGATATTCTTTGTGACTTGGATTCAGCAATCAGTTGCAGGTGTTTTCGTTTCTGTTTTAATTCAGTGTCAATTTCATATTTTGTTATAATGGTTTTCTCACTAATATCCATCAAGTCAAAATTTGTCATCTGACAAGCAGCAGCAAGGAGGGTGAACCATACTCGAGTCCTTTACCTAAACTAAAGGTTCATACAACTAGCTGAAACAAATACGTCAATAACGCTAAACCAAAGTCTCTAACCGATTATATATCCATATGGTTAAGAACCGGCAATAAACCCCATAATAAAGTCATTAGGTTAGCCCGGTTTTGTTGTCCTATTGTTGACGTATTTTTTCACGATTTTGTTTACTTGCAAAGCGACTCAATTGTTGTCCTTTTACCCTCCTTGCTGCTATGAATTAAACATCTATTATAAATATAATTAATAATGAATATGAATATTGGAGAACCTCACTCAGCTAAATTAGCTCGAGAGTGATAGTATGCTGCCGAGACAAGTGAACTACAATGAAGGTTTTGCCGTTTACTGTGATAGCAGGCTCTAAGTAAGACGTTCCTGTTACAGGTTGGCGTATCCCCTCTTTCTTCTTGATAATGATTGTGAGACTGAAATTCTCACAAGATGAAGATAAACACTATACACTATGTTGCGTGCCAGGCTCAGATTAGGAATTGAAAGGCAACAGTTGTCAGCAAATTAGATTAAAAGCAAAATAAAAACTTGTGAGAAAAGAAAAGATGTAAAATTAAATTGTAGGGGAGATAATCCATCTGAAAACATTGTGCATTCTTGTCCTGATTGTTCCCTTTTTTTCCAGCGTAAAGAGGAATCTAGAATAACTTTTGGTCATATTTATTGCACACGCTGAACCTTTAGTATATTCGTTCCAGTTATTTACCTCATATATACGACTACGTTGTGAGTAGGTCTATGTTATCCTGGATGGACATTCAGAAGACCATTTAGACAGGTAGGGAAGCTCACCTAAACTACAATTATAGGTAGCGTGGATTATCACATGAGTAAATGGAAGTAACACCATTCAAAAGGTAATAAGGCAAACTTAATAAATTCATACTAACGCAGATTTTACTAAAACTTTATCAATTCGTGTCTTACTCTTTAGAACAAAGTTCAGGGAAAAGTAAGGTTAGCCCCTATGTTACTTACATTTAAAAGAATATTTGCCTCCTTCATATTAAAACTATATTTTGAAAATTTGTTTTTATATCATGTTACATGAATCAGTCTGATGTCATTTTAATCCGTTGGATAACTCAATGAGCTTTATGTAAATATGGAGATGTATATATTGTGACGTTATGGTTCTCCATAGGTAATATATATATATATATATATATATATATATATATATATATATATATATATATATATATATATATATTAGAGAACTTTGACTAAAATATTAAATGATTTTGTGATAGATGACAGTTGTTTATATTCAATATTAAATTTTTGCTAGGTAGCCGACGTGACTTAAATAGTTTATACTGCATTTAATATTCAGCATAGGTTTTTTTCAAAATTATCGGAATAAGGCACCCTTGTATTGTCTACTTTAAGCATCCATATATTAGCATATACTTCTCTTGTATAAATGCTTTACCATGAATATATTGAATATGATCGGCAGAATTATTAAAATATTCATATAAAAATGATGACACGCGACTTGGCATAACCCTTTGTATTTAGCTTCGAAATTGTCAACAAAGTTGTGCCGTTTTGTATATGGTGTTCGCCACAAACTACATCTAACATCAGGCAATGTGGGCCTGCATTAAAATTAGCAAATTAATAGATATTTCATTAAAAACATAATCACGATAGTTCCCTTAGTATATAGATAAATAAATAAGAGAAAAGACGATTATAATAACGATTTATTTACACATTTGCAAAACGTCTATAAATGTTTGAAAATAAAATAGATAATATAGGGGTTTGGTTGGTCAAGATTGATCGATAATGAATTTTAAAGTTTAGACAAAAAAATGTTTGAGAGTTCAACTAGCTATCGCATGCTTTATTGATGTGATTTCAGTCCTTTTACAAACTTGAGTTTGGAAAACTTAATAAATTACCATCTGTTTCTTCCGTGCATAATAGAAAACTCATGTTTTAACAAATATAGATCCAGAAAATTACGGAATGTGTATGGTTTTCTCTACACAGAAGCTGCCATCAAGGATGCGTCTATACTTTTTCGTGCTTCTTTAACTGACATTGTGAGAGAGGCGTTTGTCTGTATTCCAGGGAAAACGTTTGGCCTACTTGACCATTGTCTTGCACCAAAACGTGTTTGCTTAATTTTACTTCAATACCTAGCCTTGATTACGACATTATAGTGATCTGCAAACGAATTTCTTAACAATATTTTGCCCGCTCCGGTGGCTTATTGGTTAGAGCGTGCACCTCGGATGCGGGAGGTTTTGGGTTCAATTCCCGGTCAAATCATACCAAAGACTTACAAAAATGGTACTAACAGCTTCCTCGCTTGACGCTCAGCATTAAGAGGTTAGGGTTGGGATTGGTCGGCCTGGTGTCAAGATAATGTGACTGGGTGGGACATCATGCTACGTGTCTGCGGCATGATTCCCCAGTGCTAGACATCACTTAAGACTGCCATACTGCAATCATCGTACCGATATGACTGAAAAAAATTGTTAACGCTACGTAAAAAAAATCATAATCTCATCACATAATCACATCACAAAACTTTGCAATATTCCATTAGGTTTTCAGAAAATGCTATTGCTACATAGAGGATGTGGGGATGTAAATAAAGAGGTTTTTGGAAACTAAATCTCATTTCCATTTTAATATCAGTTTCTAGGAATCTATGATTAGCTTTTTCAGTTGTGGTCACGTATAGTTCGAGAGAAATTATATATTCAGATTAATTTGGAACTATAGTGTGCGCTATGAATCTTTGAACTATACACTACACTGGATTTATCGAGGACTCATTCAAAAACATTTTGGTTTATATCATTGTTATACATCAAAAGATTCAAAACTATTGGAATTCATTCGCAACATTGTATACTTTTGGACTTGTGATAGAACATGTAGGAATATTTGGGATTTTATTCACAATAATTTACTTATTTCTTTCATTTCACCTTTTGACTTAGAGAACTGAATTATGTCTTAATTTTACTAACTTTATTGGTTTTGATTTTTATATTGGATAGATTATGCCCAATGAGTCGTAACAACTGAAGTGTAAGTTTTATCATAGCCAATTTAGAGTTATTCAGTTTTTAATATCATGGTATGTGCAAAGGTTTTCTGTCAAGCTGATTTAGAACATACTAAACATTTAAAACAAGACGTTCGATTAAGACATGTTTTCCTACATTTGTTGATGTAAGCTAAACCTATAAACAAAATATATCAGATCGAAATTTTAGCCTAAATTATCCACAATAACTCATCGAAAATAACGTAAAGTTCTTTAACGTGATACATTGGAGACACAGTCCCCTTTTAATGTAAACTTTGTATCCTCACTTAATATAATTTTAATTTTCCCCTACTTTTTACTTCTATTTTCTGTTGTTTTTTTTTTCGGTTTACTGATCGATTCTATTCTCTCTCTCTCTCTCTCTCTCTCTCTCTCTCTCTCTCTCTCTCTCTCTCTCTCTCTCTCTCTCTCTCTCTCTCTCTCTCTCTCTCTCTCTCTCTCTCTCTCTCTCTCTCTCTCTCTCTCTCTCTCTCTCTCTCTCATTTATACCCATCGGTCACTTCTAAATTCATCTTTCAAACTCCCGATGTTCTTTCTATACAAAAATAATAAAAATATGACGATAATACTGCCCACTTGAAAATCGGTTCTTAAAACTTCATGGGAATCAAACCTGGTATATATATATATATATATATATATATATATATATATATATATATATATATATATATATATATATATATATATATATATATATATATATGCATGCAGATTGATACGAATGTATGGAGATAGATACTATGTATTTCATGAGACATGTGTGCCTTTATTATCACTACGGCATAATAGCACGCAGTAAACCAACATGTTCATACCTTACTCTTGGCCATCAATACACCTTCGGACATAGAGGACTCTCTGTGGCTTATTAATATCCGAAAGTAAAGTGACTATTTTCGCACGAATTACAATTACAGTGTCCGATCTGCCTAGAAATGTTTAAAAGACCAAATATTTTATCATGCGGAGATACATATTATGTTTTGTGCTTTCAGTCGCACATAAACAGTACGCTGATCAACGAACTCTTCGGGCAGTTTTTCTTTTTTTTTTGTCCAGTGTGTAGGACAGACACAACTTAATCCTAATCCGTCAGTGACAATCGAGCAGTGGGAGGAATCATTCCCTGTAAACAGCATTGTGTCTGCATTACTGGATATAATAGATATCCCAGGCAAAAAGCTCTGTGACATGTGTCTGAAATGGAACAAAGTAACTTCAGCAACGTCCGGTTATAAATTGTAATAAATACGATTGTATTTTTCAGTGAACAACATGATGAAATAACTTCACAAAATAAAAACGCTGTTAACAATATGTTCTCTGATAACAAATTTAAGGTCGATATACCCAACTTCTCTTCCGTAGGAATGTGCTGTAGGCATCCGAATGAACATCTCAAGCTCTTCTGCGGGGATGACAATGTCCTCTGTTGTAATAAATGTGGATTTCCTAAACATAGAAAATGTGAAAAAGTCATCATCATTGACAATATGATAAAAAAAAAGTTCGATGACGGAATAAAATACAATGATGTGGAGGCCAACATACGTAACTTACAACGTTATATGAAACGGATTAAAAGCAAGGTAGAAGAGACCGTTGACAATATTAAAAATTACAAAAGTCATTTTACAGCGAATCCAGAGTCTCAGAGTAGATAAACTACAGCAACTGGAAGATGATTTGATTGTATCACTTGAAGGACATCACACAAATGAAGATTTAAACATGCGATCTCAAGACGCCAGGAGACAGAGTTTGATTACTGCCATTAACAGAGACCTAACCCAGTTTGAGCTTGTGCTAACACACCGGTCAGAGGTCCAGAATATCATCGTACTCCACGAATGGAGAAAAACGAAACCATATTTTCCACGACCATATCAGCGTTCCAAGAATTTATACAAGATATCACAATGTGGGTTAGATATTATTGAAAGACTAATAGACTTGATGAATGATTTAAATGGATTTTGACAAATAAAGATGACTAGACGTAAACCATCTTCCCCCGTGTCCTATTGCAACAACATCTGTACAGAAGATGGCAACTGTAGGTGGATCCAGTGGTTCCCCGTTAAAGGACAGAAAATCAATGAAGATATATCAATTCAATGTGAATATATTTAAAGATAATGCTTCGTGTCAAATATCTGATGTTAAATCACTGCAAGGCACGAAATATACTTCGCGATAATTCCAGTTCTCAGAATAAAGTGTTCGGGGAATATTATAAGTTTCAAGAGAGTATGACACTCCAAGGAAACCATTGGAATGCTTGCATCCTACCTGACAACAACATGGCCGTGACTGTACCCCATGGTAAGACCATTCTTGTCATTGGGATGGGGGACAAGATCCACAAGGTCAGAAAGGTTATAACGGGGGCTCAAGTGTTGGGGTGTAGCAATGTTCAGGAATGAGATAGTGATCACCACTGATGAAGATGAGCATATTGCTTCGATACTGGACATAACTGGTACAGAAATAAGAGCCGTAAAATTATCAAAGTTAAAAAGCACTAAATCCACTATATGTCAAAATAAACAAAGCTGAAACATCATCTACATAACATACGTTTGGAACAAAAATAGATGCCAACGACACATCGTGGAATGTTGGAATGTTTTGTTTACTTGCATGGATCAGAAGTTGATCAGAAGTAACATTTACCTGTTTCTTTCCACTTCGTCCAAAGTCGTACATCTATCAGCTGACGGCAAATTCATCAAGACTTTGATAACAATTCACCGACAGAAAATCCCAATAGCTGTTAGATTCTACAGAGACATGGACAGATTCGTTGTAACATACATAATATGTAATAGTTATGTGTGACTAGGATTTCACAAGCAGTCCGTAAAATGGATGAATATATATATATATATTATGCTATGATATGTAAATCACGATGGCAGTAAGATGAATAAATTGATAAAGACATTGCAATGTCACAATATCAGTCATATGAAGCATTGTATATATAGTTTGAAATTGTATGTGATATAAACTTACTTTGTGTTACATAAGAAAAAATATTGCCAGAGAGCAGAATTTGATTACTGCGATCAACAGTGACCTGGAACAGCTTCACCTTATAATGACCCTCGGATCAGATAATTGGAACGTCATCTTTCTCAAAAACAAGGGGGAAATTCAAACAAAATATTATATATATATATATATATATATATATATATATATATATATATATATATATATATATATACATGTATGCATGCATGCGTGTATGTATGTATGTATGTATGTATGTATGTATGTATGTATGTATGTATGTATGTATGTATGTATGTATGTATGTATGTATGTATGTATGTATGTATGTATGTATGTATCGTTCTTAATAACATGGGGGAAATCAAACAAAATATTAAATATATGTATGTATGTATGTATGTATGTATGTATGTATGTATGTATGTATGTATGTATGTATGTATGTATGTATGTATGTATGTATGTATGTATGTATGTATGTGTGTGTGTGTGTGTGTGTGCGTGCGTGCGTGCGTGCGTGCCTGTGTGTGTGTGTCATGTCTGATTCCGATTTGGTATTCAGAGAACAAAAAGGAGATCACGAATAGTAACTTCCTGTAAATTGATATTCGCATATATTCTCCTGAGATTGAAGAGCGTGTCCATATCCAAGTATACAATGTCGAGAGTTGAAGTTAATACTCAACCATGCATGACTCTATGGGTGAGTCGGAATGGTTCAGATGACTGACCATCGTCCACAACACAAGCCAACATGTCATCATGGAACTGTTGAACCATTATGGTGTATTTCTACGGCAAACCAAACACTTTGACCTAATCTTCCAATGAACGCCTAAGCTGACTGTGTCAAAGGCTTTTGTCAGGTCAACATAAGTGTCATGTAACAGATTATTCAAATTTATGACTGGAAGCAGAAGTGATATTTTGAGAAATGTTGCCTACCTCCAGAACAATGCCTGTAGGAGATAAGGGACTGTTTCAAAATGTTTGTAATGTTTTATATTAAAAACACAACTTGCGAGAAAATCAAAGTTTTCTGTTGTTGTTGGGCTTAACGCCATTTTTCAGCACACGATAGGCTATTCATGGCGGCCAGTATTAATGGTGGAGGAAGAAACCGGGAAATCACCGGAAAGACCCACCGACCCACGAGAAGCTACTGGCAAGCTTTCCCACATAT